GAGGTAAACATGGAATTAAATAGTTACTAACGAAACGAGTTTATGTCTTTCTGCCCACCTTATCCATCATAGCCTTAACCTTCTCCTCGTGCTCCCTTGCTTGCGCCTGAAAAAAAAGAATTGGTTAGAAAGTTGTCCACTCAATCAATGTCTTGGAAACGTATGAATTCTCCAATCATCTCAGACCAACAAAAAAGCATTCTTACTCCATTTGGAATGGAATTAATCACGACTGCTGAATTCAAGTGATCCCAACAAAACTTGAAGACTGAAGAGCACGTTCCTCTCTCTCTTAAAAAAAGCTCAATAGGAGCCTCCTATACTTACGACATCAAGAGAATCTCCCACAAGAACATGGTGAAGGGTTCGAACACTACGAGGTCGGTTTGCATATCATTATCTTCTCTGAGCCTTAGGTAGAAAGGGCTCGTTTGGTAACAGCTCCATCGCTGAATCGATTCAAAAAAATGCTACTCCAGACTGGAGCAACTAAAATGGGTTGCTTGCTGCTTCTGGTCGTGAAGGGACATTGAATGGAAATTTTGCTTACACTCATATCACGAAAGCACTCTTTGCACCGAAAAGCTTACTGATGTGTTGCGTTACGGAAAAATGTCTTTTTTTGGCATCACCCCGCATCTGCTTTAATTGCAGAAATAAATTCGCAGAAAAACCGATGTCAGACTTTGCGAATCGCGCGATTCGCTAGCGTCTGCGGTCGCGTCGCGGCCAGTGAATCACTCAATTGGCTGGTACCGCAACGCGACCGCGGAGCTAGCGAATCGCGCGATTCACACTCTGAGATCGGCTTAAGGGGTTCACATTGGCGAATGATTCAGAAGATTTAAAAATCTTTTCCATTACAAATATGAAGCGAAAGAGCCCTTCATACCTCAAGTCCATATTTCGCTGCCCATTGAATGACCTGCTCTCTCCTCTGGTCAAGTGGCACAGCCTGGTTTCTGGCTATTTCGAAGAACTCGTTACGAACGGTTTCGTTGGCGTTTTTGAGGTAATCCGGTAGAAAAGGCGGCTTGCAATTGGGACCCTGCTCAAAAACGAGTTTATGGAAGTTTCAACAACACCTTTTCAGAACAAATGTGAAAACAATTGTGGTTGTGACACTATCAGCGATAAAAAATGAAGCAGTCGTATACTTATGAGCTCACATTTTTGCTCATCACCTCGTGCACCTTATCTTCGTGCTGCTTTGCTTGTTCCTGAAAAGAACAAACTATACTTCAGCGTAAGGAAGTCATCATAGAATTTACTGCTAGCTCATGTATATCCCACTTTGACAACAGACAAACTCATTAAGCCGCGGATCGAAATTTGCAATGGTTGCTGAAAGGTACTCCCTCTTAGAGTGAAAAAATGGGTTTCCAAGACCAGGAGCCGCAAAGATGCCGTGAATCAGAATTTTTCGCTCTTGCGCGTTATGGCTCTCCGGTTACGAGCGTGACCGGATTCACAGAGCGCAATTTGAAGGGCGCTTTCTCTGAGCTCACTGACTTTTCCTCATGTCTCGTCACACATCCTGTCTAATATTTTAATAAAGGACACACTAGCTTCGCATTCAACGTTGTGGGAGAAGAGAAGTTTGGTAATAAATGAGAAAATATAAGTTGGTTTGAAGCATAAGAGAGTAGGAGATTCGGAGATCTGGGGATTTGGCCGAAAAGAGCAAATATGTAGGGAATCAATTGAGAATGACGAAATACTAGGGTCGTCTGAGGAAGGAGTAAGTTATGACCCTAACGTCAGGAACAAATAACTCTCTAATCTTTCCAGCCGAATCTTCTATTATCGCACCTCCTTATCTTTTAATCTCCCCCAAACGCTGATTATGAACGCGCGTGATGCTGACAGATGATACAACCTGAGGGTCATTTTTTCAGGAGATACCTTATACCACCTAAATAGCAAATATGGGCTGTTTATGGCTTCTCACTTAAATGTATCCTAGAGAATCATAGATCTTCTCAGATGCTCGACATTGGGATTTGATATAACAAGCTCCTGGGGCAGAAGTCTCCTGGGAGAATTAGGAAGCAGGGCTGGTAACGAGGACGGAGGCAGTTTCCGAGTTTAGGCCTTTGAGGAAGAAGATCGTATGGAAGCTCGCGTTATGCAGCTCCCAGTCAAAAACCTCTCCGACACAAGAAAGACAGCGAATCAATTTAGAAAAATGATTCGTCAACCCCTTCGACTTTTCATTTTCTCAGACCATTCAGATTAATATTATGACTGAAGTCAGTCCGCAAGGTGATTTTTGGGTGAACGGTTTTCAAATGATGTTCAGAAGTGATGAACTTTTTTCCCATCAGCAGTCGAGGAATGAGACAAACCGTACCTCAAGTCCATATTTCTTTGCCCAATTAATCACTTGTTCCCTCTTCTGCTCTGGTGGCACACCGTGTTTTTTAACGATGGCGAAAAATTCTTTGCGAACGGTCTCGTTGGCATTGTCGAGGAATTCTGGTTTAGGTGGCCGTTGACATCCAGGAGGAGGCTGAGCGAAAACGATGCAGAACACTGCGCATGCAGCGAGCGTAACGAAGAGAACCGTGTTCATTCTGAACTCAACTAAACATAAATAAGAAGTTTTATTACAGTTATTTGCTAAAACAGAGCAATTAAGGGGAAAAACCGCTGGCTTCTGATAGACCTGTACGACCAGCATATAAGACGCATTTAAAGGCAAGATTCGGGATAAAATAGGTGTGGAAAAGCGTTCAGTTATGAAGCTAGAGGTGGGAGGTGGTCTGTAAAAGAGAAGGAAAGCAAACGAAACCACCGATTACGCCCCGTACAGAGACCTCCC